AAAAAAAAAAAAAAAAAGGACCCCACCCATCCTTATTTATTGCCATGTGACTTTGGAAAAGAAGCTGGTGCGTTTGTTTGTATATGCCTCCTGTGTGTTGGCATGAGATGTGTATGGTAAAACTATGTCAAATAAATATGGACGTTCTTTAGAAGCTGTTGTGTCTTGCTTTTCATTTAGTTGGCTCCAAGTTTTTTCTCTTGGCCCAAGTCAAATGCAAAGCTGTGCTGACATGGGACCCTTTCAGCACCAGAAGAAAACCCAAAGTACAACTCTGAATGCCAGGAACTACTTAAAACCATAACTGCCAGAACTGCTCAGTGAAGGGCTGGTTAGAGGAAGTTGTCTGATTTTTCTCATAGCAGTGTTCTGGGGCCCAATCCTCTGTTCCCAGACTTAGGGAATGGGCAGAGAAAACCTTTTGACCACATACCTTTTAGTTTGTCCTTCACATTTGCACATACTTTCTTGAGGGAGAAGATGTGTTGAGTGTCTACATTTGGGTGAGAAGTGGATAGAGGGCTAGAAACACCTCATCAGAGTCTTCAGGGCTCTTGGGCAAGCTTTTCTAGGAAAGTCTCCATTCAAACTTTTTCTCTGCAAGAGGCTTTATTAGTGTGCAGGACCTGAAGTTTAGTGGAAATGGAAAAAGCAACAGATTCTTAAATTAAAAAAAAGTCATAGCCTTTCTTTAGAGCGGGGGTCCCGACTAGGAAAAACTAGAGTGCACCTTTCCCATTAGTGATTAGGGGTTTTGTTTGGTTGAAGGGAAGATCTAAGCAGAGGTGCACTGTTCAATACAGTAGCTACTAGCCACACATGGTTATTTACATTTAAATTGATTAATATGAAATGAAGCTAAAAGTTAACTTCCTCACACTAGCCATATTTCCAGTGCTAATAGCTACATGTGGCCAGTGGCTACTGTATTTGGACACAAATATGTTTCTAACACTGCAGAAAGTTTTATTGGACAGTGCTGATGGAATCTGGCTCAGAAGGGGCAGAGAAAACTCATCACCTCTTTAGCTTCTTGTTAACCTGGAGTACTTGGTGAAGTATTTTGAGATTCCCTAGACAGTGGTAGTGACAACTGACATATCTTGTGTGACTGGTTTAGGTACAAAGCATGAGGCTGGGCTCTGGGCCTCTTGAGTTCTCAGTCTACGGATGCCACCAGGTTGTCGGGACTCCACCTAAGTCTTAGGCTTACTTTGTGCCCACAGTCTACCCAGTTAAACAGGAAAGGGAGTATGTTCCCAGGCAGGACCTCCAGTGAGAGTCTTGGAGGGCTTAAAGGTCTTTCCGTGGAGACTCAAATCTCTGCTACGGAGGGAAGGGATTTATGGTTCTTTGTGGAGTCATCTCCTGTGGTAAATACCTCACTAAACTGAGAAAGGCAAAGGCCTTACTGAGTTATGTACCAAGGAAGGCTGAAGGTCAGAGGGACCAGACCTTCTGGGCGCAAGGGAGGATGAAGATGAGAGCACCCAATGGGACTGGGGTGTTGGCAGAGCAGTAAGGAGGTGCTGCATGTGAGGACTTCGGTTTCTTCCCTCACTCAGTTCCCTGGGTAGCTCTTAGGGAGATTCGCCAAGTGGCTATGAAGGGTTCTGTCGCTATTAAATTTAATTACTCATCCGAGTATTCCCAAGGCACTCATAATGGGGCATGAGAGTTCTGCCAGCCTGTGTGCTGCACCGTGACTGTGGTCTTCCACCCTCCACCCCATCACCAGCCTGTCTCCACTGAGTCTTTGCTTTCCATACACTATCAATTGCTCTGAGTGTATCAGGCTGACAGTTCACTGCACTGTTTCCACTTTGTGCTCTAGTGCATCCTGATCCCACCACAACGCTAACCTATAAAGCTCTGGATTAAATGAGTTCTCAGCTCACAGAGGAAGAGGAGGATCTGGTCCTTCTTTCTGGGTTGGTTACTAGAGACCAGCTCCTGAGCTCGATTCTCTTTTGGATAGTGGCTTTTCAAAAGGACAGCTGCTTAAAGAATAAAAGAACGAACCAGCCAGGAAGAATGAAAAAAAAAACGCAAACTCAGGAGAACTGATGAAGGCTCAACAGTATTTGCACTGCTTGCCCTGCCGTCTCTCTCCTCTGGCCCAGGGTTCCACTCGGCCCACGTTAGAAAAGGGTTAAAAAGATCAAAGGCAAGTCTGTGTGTGATAAATTTTAACTGATAGCTAAGCCAGAGGTACACTCATACGAGAAGTGAGCCTTGATGTTTCTGAGTGTATTTCCTTAGACGATAGTTGAGACATAGTTAAAAAATTGTTCCTTACAGTCTAAATAGAAAATGGTTGTACCCCTTTGCTGTACCTCTTCAGACGGATGCTGTTTCAGTTCTGTCACTTGTAGATCCTGCTGTCTTCCCCGTAACGTCCTGTCCTCTGCTGGCAGACTACTGAACTGGCCAGAACTTCCAAGGCTGGGCAGTGGAGCTCGGGCGGGGTGCTGGTGTGGGTCGTGGCTGCCCCAGAGAAGCAATGGCTACCCACTTCTGTTGAAGAAATACTGTGAGCTAGGAGGGAGGAAAAAAGCCCAATGTTTATAAAACGGGGCGAAATCATTAGGAAGAGGAAATTTTTTATTATCATCCTTCTAAAAGGAAAAACAAAAAGAACCCGTCCAAACTATTAGTCAGAGGTCTTCAAATCATCAGCTCCTACCCTGGGAGAGCACATCACGCCATGTCAGAGAACAGCGAGAGTAGGCTTTTGACGGTAACACTTGCCTCTTTATGACTTTTTCATTCCTTTTCTTCTCTCATTTTTGTCCAAGGTCAGGATTTTCTTTTAGAACTCTTTCCTATGGTGATTCTTCCTTTGGCCCTCTCCCTCCTTAAACACAAACATTGAATTTAGGCATGTTGTTAACTGGGATGTTATTCTGTAATTAAATGAACATGTCACGGACTGTCCCCAAGAGTATGCATGAGTTCCCTTTCCACAGAAGGGGCCCCTAGGAGACAAACGTTGACATGTGACTGACTTACACCCAGGGTTGTTTAGCAGACTACTGAACTGGCCAGAACTTCCAAGGCTGGGCTGTCTCTGGAGCTGGGGGAGCTGAGGTTTTGTTTTCTGTTTTTTAAAGATTTATTTCTCTTGCTTGCCAACCCTGGACCAGGATCTTCTGTTGGTTGGGAGGGGTTTGGGGATTTTGGAGAGGCTGGGAATCGCTTCCTGAAAGATAAAATACAGACCCCAAAGAGTAGTCTTGGCACACACTTGGAGCTGAAAATAAGCAGTTAAAAAAAAGGCCATTAAAATGGTAAATAGGTTTCAACAGATGGCTCCAGCACAGCAATGGCAAGCCCAGGCAAAGACTTTGGGGTTAAATCTCATATTTTAGTCACCTGGGACTAGCTTATTATTCCAGAAAAACAAACATCTGTAAAGTTGCCAGCTCCCCTCCTCTAACGTGGAGCCCTTGACCACACTGCCTGCTCACTGGCCAGTGGAGAGGTGGCTGCCTACAGATTGCCACCCAGGGAACTGAGAGTTGCGTTTTCGACACCTGTCAACTGCAGGGCTTAAAGCTCACTCAGGCTAGAGGAATATAACCAAGAATCTCTATTACTGATGGGCTTGGACTTTTATACTCAATGTGTGTGCTGGCTTTATTATTTTTTTAGAATCATTTTAACATTTAATGCTTCTCAATTAAAGTGGTTTCCCGGAGTGGATGCCAAGCTTCGTTTAGAATGCACATTAACCACTTTCCCCATCGGTAGTTAAAGGCACTGAGGGATTTAAACAGCAATCCACAGGTCTGCTCAGTCAAGGTTTGGCGGAATAAAGCAGATTATAAACAATAATATATGTCTTTCTCTTCTTTTTTTGGAAGGGTTCCAAACTCACAAACGGAGCTAAAGTGCTATAAACATATCCAGGACTAAGCTTGGGGATCTACAAATGTACTCCGTGAAAGCCACCAGCCCTGGTGGTGCCACTTTCTATCCCGTGTGTGTACGTGGGCACGTACTTTAGAAGAGCTTTTTATTACACAAAGTGTCCATCAACTGAACTTACCTGCTAAATATTAAAATGGAAACCAGTACTGCTACACAAATGAGGGAAAAATAAATCCTGGCTGCACTGTGGGTGATGAATTTGCTGCTGCAGCCCAGGGCAGCCCCCTGAAAATCACCTCTGGTCTTTCAGGCCCTCACAGTCCCCATGTTCAGCCTCTGCATTCAGTAGTGTTGGGTTCAAATGGCCCTTTTCCCATGTGTGAGAGAAACTCACACTGAGTGCCTAGAGTTCCACCACGAGGCAAAAGCCTGTTATGGTTCCATCGAGTTTTTAACCTCAGTGTTCTATTGCGAATTCATGTTCATTCCTTCTAAACATGTAGGAAGAGTCTGTGCTGGGTATATGCTGGCACGTACCCTGTGAACGTCTCGCTCCGGTTCCCAGGGCTGGGAAGCTTCCTATTGCCAGAGGAAGGCACAGTGCTCTCGGAAGTGACTGCAGTCAGTACACAGGTCCCCAAAGAAGAGTAAAAAATGTAAAATAATGACATTCATTTTATAACTGTGCCAAGAAAAAAATGATATAATAAAACACAGGAAAGAAAGTTTTGAAGAATTTATATGTAAAAGTAAAACACAGTAAGGGATAAAATGCCACGAATGCCCAGTAACTATGGTGATCTGTACAAGGTTCAAGCCATTATGTTCAGCTTTTCGAGGAGGAGCGTGACAGGAGTATTTCAATATTTCAAGGGTAAGTGAATAAAGATGAGGTTAAATAGCTTTTCCTGTTCAGTCCTTTAGTGTAACGCCAATTAACACATATGTGAAAATTGATCACACTCAGCACATAATAAACGTTAGGTGGTAAGTATAGCAAGGAAGCTTTTTTCCTTCAGTCTGATAATCACTATACTTTGGCCCAAAATCTCTCGGATGAAGGAACTGTGAATGGTTACTGAAATAATTAAAGATGCTCAAGGAAAAGCTCTAATAACGATCGTCATAATTTTTCAAATCACATGATTACAGAAGACTGCACTGAAGGCTTTTTATGTCTTAACAGAAAATCCAATGTGCATATATATAAAATTCATTAAGAGGCTTGAAAAAGCACCTTTGAGGGTGGTTGCTTGTCTCTGCACTTTAGCTTATCCTGAAAACATGGTGTAAAACTTCTGAACTTGATATCACAGAGCTTGATTCTATATAAAAGTCTATATGAAGATGGGCATTTTTCCCTGGATGGTGTGGCTCAGGGATTACTGTGTAGACCCGAGGACTGAAGGGTCATGGGTTTGATTCCCGGTCAAGCGCACATACCTGGGTTGCAGGTTTGATCCCGGACCCCAGTCACGTGGAAGGCAACCAATCAGTGTATCATCTCTCTCACATCAATGCTTCTCTCCCCACCTTCTCTAAAAAAAAAAAAAAAAAAATTTAATGGAAAAAATTTCCTCGGGTGAGGGTTACAAAATAAAACAAAACAAAGATGGGCATTTTTACTGTTTTTACTTATAGGATCTTGAATAATTTTCCTTCTAGTTCTGAGTTTCAATTTCCTCATTTGCAAAATAGAGAAAATGCCAATTATTTCTAGCTTTACAATTATTGTGAGGTTCAATTAAGATGCTTGTCTATAAAATCCTGTATAAAAGTAAGGTGTAATTACTGTTATGCCATTGAAGTTCAGATGTATTGATTGTAAGATACATTAGCTTATGTATTACTAAGGCAAAAAATGTTGTCAATTCAACTATGACATGCTATTGTTTGTAAAACAAAAAAACCACCACCAATTTTGGATACGTTAAAATGTGAAAAAAAAAGTGTGCCTTAGAATTGATAAAATATAGTATTATAAATTCTATTAAAGCATTTGACCCAAAACACCATAGAAATTGGAATTTAAAATCCACTCATAAATATTTAAATGCAGTATTTTCATTACTGAATTGTGGCTGGTGGGTTACATATCTATTCTGTGATAAACATTTATTTATAAAGGGATTTTTTAGGGACTTGAAGTTTGATGAAAGCCTTCATGTTTCAATTGATAAATGTTAAATAAACATTTAGAAGTCTTCATGTTCAACTGAAGCATATATTATTAGCCTGGGCACTAACCCCTCCTGCAACCGCAGCTCAGCTTTGCTATAGCCACACGCCTTGTTCATTAATCCTCAGAGATGCCATACTGTACACGGAATAATAACCCATAGCCAAGTAGTTAACCTGGCAGGAAGCTAAGAAATACCTATTTAATAGAAAGGTTCACTGGATTATAGCAACCTTTTAGCTGGAAAATGCTGAAACATTAAAAAAAGATATAATAGATATGCTTCCAGATATTATACTTTGGTTGTTACCCTTCTACCTGACAAGCATAAGAGATAACAATACGTGGTCAGTTGGCTGACTTCTTACATCTTTATTAGAGACACGGTTATAGTAGGTTTAAAAGATTTAGTGAGTTTTTGATGAGCAATTTATGAATTTCTGTAAGACTTTTCAAGGTATCTCATGCAATATCTTGAAATAACATGAGTAATTCTAAACATACATGATAATGTGACAAGGGAATGGCAGTGGCCTAGAACAGTGCCTGTCATTTAGTAAACTCTCAAGACGTACTGATAAAAGAAGATCTTTAACACTTCACAGGAGTTTTGAGCTCTAATAGGAAGGACTGCGATTCAGCAGACTTGGTTCCAATGTGGCTCTACTGCTATTCTCTGACCTTGGGGAACTAAAGTAACCTGTTTATGCCTCAGATTCATCCTCATTTAAGAGGCGTTAGTAACACCTGCAGTACCTAATTTATAGGGCTACTGTAGAGGGACAGATTAAATAATGCTGTGAAAATATCCTGAAAAGTCAAAAAAGCTAAACATATAAACAGGAATCATTAGTGAGTGACACAGAATTAACAGGTGGGCTCATTTCTGCCCTGTAGCAGAATCAGAGGTCAGGGGCCAACTTTTTGGCCAGTACTCTTTAAAAATTTCCGAGTACATCATTAAAATCTTGATCAATTGTTTTTTAAAAAAAAAGTATTTCTCTCATTCCTTCAAATAGGCATGGCACCACCCCATACATCATCTAGTAGGAGCACTTAAAACCATGGAAATTGGGTCAGCCAACAAAAGAATTCTTGAAATATTTTATTTCTTGAAATACTCTAACAAGGAGCAGGAAAAAAGGATTCTGGATGATACCCACAGACCCCTATGGACTATACTGTAAAGCCACTGTGGACTATACTGAAACAGCCTGGTACTGGCATAAGAATAGGCATATAGACCAATGGAATGCAACAGAGAGCCCAGAAATCAACCCACACCTATATGGCTAATTAGTATTTGACAAAGGAGGCAAGAGCATACAATGGAGTAAAGACAGTCTCTTCAATAAATGATACTGGGAAAACTAGACAGGTACATAGGAAAAAATGAAACTAGACCACCAACTTACACCATACACAAGACTGAACTAAAAATGGATAAAAGATTTACATGTAAGTCACAAAACCATAAAAATCCTAGAAGAAAACATAGGTAGTAAAATCTCAGACATCTCTCACAGTAAATATTTGCCAATATGTCTCCGAGCACAAGGGAAACTCAGAATGAGATAAACAAATGGGACGACATCAAGCTAAAAAGCTTCTGCACAGCGAAAGAAGCCATCAATAAAATGAAGAGAGAACCCACTGTATGGGAGAACATATTTGCCAATGATACATCCGATAAGGGGTTAATTTCCAAAATATATAAAGGTACAACTCAACACCAGGAAGACAAACAATTCAATTAAAACATGGACGAAGGACCTGAAGAGACACTTTTCCAAAGAAGACACACAGATGGCCAATAGACAAAAAAAATGCTCAAAGTCACTAATTATCAGAGAGATGCAAATAAAAACTACATGTCATACCTGCCAGAATGGCTACTATCAATAAATCAACAAAAAACAAGTGCTGGTGAGGATGCAGACTGGTGCAGCCACTGTAGAAAACAGTACGGAATTTCCTAAAAAAATTAAAAATGGAACTGCCTTTTCACCCAGCAATCCCACCCACTTCTGGGAATATATCCTAAGAATCCGGAAACATCAATCAGAAAGAATATATGTACCCCTGTGTTCATAGTGTTATTTACAATAGCTAAGATCTGGAAACGCCCATGTACCCATCAGTAGATGAGTGGATAAAAAAAGAGCTGTGGTACATTTGCACAATGGAATACAAGGCGGCTGTAATAAAGAAGAAAGTCTTACCTTTTGTGGCAGCATGGGTGAACCTGGAGAGTATTACGCTAAGTGAAATAAGCCAGTCACAGAAAGACAAATACCATATGATTTCATTCGTATGTGTAATCTAATGAACAAAATAAACTGATAAACAAAATGGAACCAGACGCATGAATACATGGAACAGACTGGCCGGTGCCCAAGGGGAGGGGGGTGGGGGTGGCTGGATAAAGAGGGTGAAGGAAATAGCTAAAGAACATATATGCATACCCCATGGACACAGACAATAATTTGGTAAAGGCCAAGAAAGGGATAGGTGGGGAGGGTGGTGGTGGGCAAAAGTGGGGGGAAGGGGTACTCTGCAGTAATGTCAACACTGAACATTTTAAAAATAAAAATAATAAGTAAAAGCTGCATCCCATACCTTGGTCACTTTCACTGTAACTAATGCATAATGATTCTTAAAACACATTCAATTAAGGTGGAACAAGAGTGTTTAGCTAAACAGTAGGTTGAAATGTAGCTGGACTGTGGGAAAAGCACACATGATGAAGAGAAAGCTCTCCTAGAATGATAGTACCATTTCCGCACGTACTAACATGCGTATCTCTTCCACAGATTATTAAAAACTGAATAGTCTTGGGAATAGCTTGGCTTGCATCTCAGAAAAGAAGTTATGTTAGAAAAGTCACAAAGTAAACAACATTAGTATGTCTCATTTCTGCTCTGAAGGGGCTTGTTTCAGGACAGGTTAGCTTGGGCTACTAAAAATCCTGTCCATTGTTGAGGGCTCCACTAAGCAAGTTTATTGCTTGTCATCTAAATAGTGACACATTAGAAAAATTATTTTTTAAATGGCCACCTTTGCATCTCAACCTGTTTCTTACTTCATTTCTCTTCATATGACAACTGTCGACTTTCCTTATAAGAAATGTCAAGCAATTCCCAGATGGAATTCTTTAGGCTTAAAGGGGAAAATGTAGGGAGCCAGTTTCAACAGTAGCATACTTGTCTATCCTTTACATAAAAACTGGTGTACTTGTCTATGTTTTTAATAAAAAATAGATGCTCTCCTGGTATCCAGAAATAACTTCAATCACACCTGAGTAGTGGGGCATTATGGCTATTTCACATTAGGCCCAAACAGATGTAACAGAGGCTGCCGCCATATATGACAGGGACAGTATAGCCAATTAGAAGGGCCCTAGGGAAATTCCTCCCAGCTATGGGAAGGTGAGTTTAAGGTATCCTGACCTAACCAGTGAATTACCCAGAACCTGTGTTCCAATCCTAGAACGAGGTCACTAAATCTTATTCTGAAATATCCAAGCTTTTGAGATTTTAAAAAAATCTGGCTCTTCCTGTGACTTCTATATTCCGATGCGACAAAATTCTGCCTTTTTTTTTTTAACACCCCTCTTCTTTCCTATCTTCCCAATTCTGTCTGCCAAGAGGCTGGACATTTCAGCTCCCTATTCAGACCCACTGTACAAAATACCACAAGGTCATGTGATCCCCACCACACTGGGATTTCATGAAACTTTCCCTCATTGTCAGTGTAGAACTGTCGGTCATGTTTTGCTTCTGTATGTTTCTTAAAAGAGCAGCCATGTTTAATATTGTGAACTACGATGTGTCTCCTCCTCTCCCCACCCCCGAGACCAGTGATAAATTTCAGAGCACGCTCAGCAGAATTGGATTGTATTATGCACAGTACACATGTTCATCGCCAAAACTGTACTCGCCGGAATGTATGCAAGCAGAATGAATTGCTGAGACTTCAAAATCCCCGTTCCTCAGAACTGATTTTATTAGCCAGCGTACACCAAGGATGGGTGGTAAAAGTAGTATGATTTTCCCAGTTTTCTTGCATCATCGAAGCCCTATGTTGTTACACTGTGGCTCTCCAGTCTTCTGCTTAAGCTCTGCCAGCTGTGTGCTGCTGCAACACCAGAGACACAGCTTTGCAACCTGTCACCTCTTCCGGCAGGCAGCCTTCCTGGTCTCTCAGAGTGGGGTCCGCGCCGGACTGGAGCAAAAGCTCCACGATGTCCAAGAACTCACAGGCAGCAGCTGACAGGGAAAGTGACAGACATGAAAACAAGGTTACTTGGAGACAAAGAGAGACTAGACTTCCGCAGCAAAGGCAAGTGCTGAGCTGTAAGGAATCCAGAACGAGAACCCTCACAGTGGCTGGAGGGTGATCAGGCCTCAAAGCCAGAAATGTGCAGGTACAGTGGACTTGTGAATGTTAGGAAAGTCAAATTTACTTTTTTTGGTTGCCCAGACGCAAGCAAACATACATTTTATTTTATTATTTTTAAAAAGTATGTTTTTATTTTTTAGAGAGAGAGGAAGTGAAAAGGGGGAGAGAAATACTGATATGAGAGAAAGAAACCAATCAGCTGACTCCTGCATGCCCCTACCTGGGGACTGAGCCAGCAGCCCCCGGCATATGCCCCAACTAACAATCGAACGGACAACCTCTCCGTGCATGGGAGGGTGCTCAACCAACTGAGCCACACTGGCCAGGGCAGAAATACATTTTTTAAATTGTGAGGCTTCTGGATTCTATTCTTAAGGACAGGATGAAGGGAAAGAACAAAGAGAGTGTTTAAGCACCTACTATACTTTGATCAGAACAAAGGTAGGTTTGTGACACTCTCAAAAGGCTAAAAATAATAAATGTAAATGTCAAAGAAAAAACACTGTTTTGTCTTTGAAGAGGGGATAAGTGGGTAACTAACTGAACTTTAAAATTTGTAAATGAAAAAATAAAAGCTGGCCTAGTAATTAGACCATCCTTTTATATAATCTTCTCTTTCTCCCCTAAATAATAAATGGTACCAATCACACAAAGTGCAGGAAGGGGGAAAGGACCTATAGATATTAAGAGTGATTATGAAGATGGTGTGGTACTGCCCCCAGGATGGACAAACAGAACGAAGGGCTAGAACACAGAGCTGTCCGTTTCTTTGCACATATATGGAGACTTGATTTATGACTACACTGGCATCACAGATCAGTGAGGAAACAAAGACCCATTAATTAGATGGCGCTGAGACAAGTGGGCTAAAGGCAAAAACAGGCATTTCACACAAGATGAAACATAAATGACAATAAACACGAAACGAGGAGCAACCACATTAGTAACAACGAAAATGAAAATTAAAACCAGAGGACACCATTTCATACCCGGTAGGTAGGTGAATTTAAAAACTTAGACAATACTGAGCCTTAAGGAGGACTGAGGCAAGGGACACTCCCCCCTGGGAGGGTACAGTGGTGAGGGCACTTTGGACAACAATTTGACATTACCCACTGACCCTAGACAAATGCACAAGCTCCAACCCAGCAACCCTGCTCCCAGGTATGTACTCTACAGGAACTTCTGCAGGGTTCTCCAGGAGATATTAGCAACAATGTACACAGCAGCACTGTTCAGAGTAGACCTCAAGTGTAAACCATCCAAATGTAAAAATAAAATATCGTTTACTTATACAATGAAATCTCATACAGCACTGAAAACTAATGAACTTATGAGTTTCACACAACATGAGTTTATCTCCAGAACATAACCTTGGAGGAAAAAGTTAAAAGAATATACACAGTGTGATGGCATTTAAATAAACATTTTAAGACAGATTAAACACCATTGTTCAGAGACACAAATATGTAGTAAAACTGTAAGGGAAATCATTAATAGAAAATTTGGGATAGTGCTAATCAGTGGCAGGTGAGTGGGGGTGTAGGGAAGGTTATGTGGTTGGGTAGACACACAAACATTGGTGAGGTTCTATTTCTTAAGCTAGGTGGTGGGTACATTTTTTTAAAGCTACACTTTAAACTCTTCATATACATTTAAAAACATATATATCTTTATTGATTTCAGAGAAAGGAAGGGAGAGAGAGAGATAGAAACATCAATGATGAGAGTCACTGATTGGCTGCCTCCTGCACGCCCCACACCAGGGATTGAGCCCACAACCTGGGCATGTGCCCTGACCGGGAATCGAACCTTGATCTCCTGGATCCCAGGTTGATGTTCAATTGCTGAGCCCCGCCCGGCTGGGCTTCATATACAATTTTTTTACTCTTTTGTAGTATATTAGACAACAGCAATGACAACAGGTTAGAAAAACAGGAAATAAAAGATAAAGAGCTTGATTCAATGAGTGTTTCACTGACTATACACTGTATCAGTCCTATCAAGGATACGGTAAGATTCCTGCTCTGAGGAGCTTATTATAAAACAGCTGGGAGAATATGTAATTTGGCAACTCTACCACAAAAGGATGAATAAGTACTGTGGCAGACACACAGAAACACACATGCCCATGTAAAGGTGGGGAGGAGGAGGTTGAGGATCAGGAAAAACCTCACCAGTAGGGGGTATGCAAGCTGAGCTTTGAAGGACAGAGTATAACTCCAGGTAACCGTGAAGGAAAAGGCATTGCAGAGTGAGAAACCTCCACTGCCAGGGGCACGAGCACAGCAATGCTGAGAACTGGCTGCCGGCTCCCAGAAACAGCAGCCGGTCAAACGCAGAGAGGCTGGATTTCAATCACACTGTACAGGGTGCCTTGAAAGCCATACGAAGAAGTTTGGCTTTAATGAGCTGGGGAATGGCATAATTTGGCTTCTGTGTTAGGATGATCATTCTATAAAGAGTGACCTGGAGAGTCTAGAAATTTAGAGATTAATTTAGAGATCACTTAAGAGATCGTGGTAGCTCTTTAGGGGGCTTGAGATCAGCCAGTGTCAGCAGGAGTATAAAGAAGGGACTAAATAAGAGAGCCCGTGAAATTTGAAGAGTAGCTTCAAAAATGTTAGTGAGCAATAAATTTACCAATTAATGAAGCTGATATAATGTTATGTCTATAGATACTTAAACATTTAATTAATTTAATTATTTATATTTTGTAACTTTCTTTTTGTTTTGTGGGACAAAAACAATTTTATTTTGAATATGTTTATAGGCTTTTGAAAAGCTCGAAGGCTCAAGGCCTGTGATCATGTTTCCTGAACAAAATGGCCCAAGTATTTCTACACTTGATATGAAACTCGGACATCACAAAGAAAATTACTGATAAGTTTGAATACATAGAAACCTAAAACTGATAAATTTGAACACATAAAAATTTAAAACAGCTGCACCATAGACACAAAAATACTATACGCAAAGGTAAACCATAACTGGGGAACATTCACATACATAAGACAGACAAAAGCTAATATCCTTACTATTGAAAAAATTTCACAAATCAATCCAGAAAAACTGGGGAAAAGAGTTGCAAGATCCAAAGCTGATACCCATGTTTCCAGTCTGGAGCAACTACACAGATGCTGGTGACATTATTTCTAGAATAAGGAAACAGAATAAGGAAGAACAGGAGTTTTTGAAAGGAAACTGGAACAGAAAATGATGGAGGGGGAAAGAGAATTTAGGTTTAGGACATGATAAACACATGGTGCTGAGGGATGTCTATATGGATGTGTTCAGTAGGGAGGTAGAATTTGAATCTAAAAACCAACCATGCTATATACCACTGCTATCTCTATTTTTATTGTACTATGTGACTTTCTGAAGACATATGTTTTGGCCTCAGGATTTTTGGCACTTTTTCTGGATACTCTGTTAAATATATTGATATTACATGACCCCCCTGGCCAAAGAGCTACCTACCTAAGGTAGTTTCCCTTACAAAGCTAGAGAACTATGTTTGAAAATGACATATGGATTATTGAAAATTCCTAATGGTGTCCTTACCAACAGACACATTTATGTCATTGGGAAATAAAAAACTTAAGAGGCAAAAATTGTTAATGACAGTTATAAATTTCCACTTGTATTTTGTTTTTTACTACAATTTATGTTCATCTACTTTAGATTGTGCCAATTAACATACAGAGCGAGATTCCCTGTTTTCTTAATTTTCTGGTTAATATTCACTTTTTAAAATATGCTGAGCCTGGCCGAGTGTGGCTCAGCGGTTGAGCGTCGACCTAGGATCCAGGCGATCGGGGTTCGATTCCTGGTCAGGGCACATGCCCGTGTTGTGGGCTAGGCAGTTGATCAATGACTCTTTTATCATTGATGTTTCTTCTCTCTTTCTCCCTCTCCTTTCCTCCCTCTGAAATCAATAAAAATATATTTTAAAAAAAAATAAAAAAAATAAAAATATGCTGAATTCTGACAAATGTATCTATTTATGTAACTATTATAATAGATATAGGACATCTCCATCACCCCCCAAAGTTCCCTCCTCTCTCTCTGCAGTCAATCCTCTACCCCCACCCACAGCCCTGGCAACCACTGATCTGATCTGATTTCTGTCCTTATAGTTTCGCCTTCTCTAGAAATGGGAATCATATAGCATACAGTCTTTTGTGTCTTGCTTCTTTCACTTAGCATAATGCTTTTGAGATTCGGCCATGTTGCTGCAAGTTCCTTCCTTTTTATTGCTGAGCAGTATTCCATTATACGGATGTATACAGACATCTGGGTTGTTTCCAGTTTTTGACCAGTATGAACAAAGACCTTATGAACACTTGGACACATGTCCTTGTGTGGACCTTTTATGTTTTCACATCTTTGGGTAAGTAACTAGGAGTGGGAATGCTGAGTCACGTGGCAAGTGAATAGTTAACTTTTATAAGAAACTACCACACTTCCAAAGTTTGCATTCCCACTAAGTATGAATTCCAGTTGCTTTGACTATGGGTAACCGAAATCACAGAAGGCAGAACTGTGGGTAAGGAGGGACTGCTGTACATATCAGAAACGAAAGCGAGGACATCACTACAGATTTCGTGGACATAGAAAGATAATAAAAGAATACTACAAACAACTCTATGCCCACAAATATGATAACCTAGATGAGATGAACCTTGAAAGACACAATTGGCCAAAACTCATATAAGAATATACAATGTGAGCAGGCCTGTATCTGTTAAAGAAATTGTATGATACCATAATGATGGATACATGTCATTTTATATTTGTCCATAAAATGTACAGGAGTGAACCATAATATAGACTTTGGACATTGGATGATTATGATATATTATAC